CGTTCCCGGCCGGGCGCCTCTCGCGGGGGCCGCGCCGCCGAGCCCGAGCGTCGCGGCGCGGAGGCCCTCGCCGCCGCGCCCGCCCGCCCGCCCGAGGCACGCGCGCCGCCCCCCTTCGGAGGCCTGCGACGCCTCTGCAGCGCCTCCGCGCTCGCACCTCTGACGACGTGCGGAACGCTTGGGGCGCGGAGCTGAGTGCTGCACCGGAAACAGATCGTGGCCATGGCTCGCCAAGTGTGTCACAAAAGGCGGCTGGAGGGTCTTCCCCCTGAGCCAACACCTCGCTATGCGACGCCGCGGATCCGTGCAGCTCTATAAGGACTGGACGGGATGAGGAGGACCATGCTGGCCATCACCAACCTGGCAGCCGTGCCCCCAGAAGGGGCAACATTTCAAAACTGTGACTCCGTGACTCCTCAGACTGGGCAGCATTGAAACATTATGCACCAAGTCTGCCGCAAAGAGCAGGTACGGGCATGTGCGCAGGCTCCTGGGCGCAGCTGTGCGTCAGTCAAGAGCGTGAGACAGGTGAAACAGTACATATCATGAAGGGGCAAATGGATCTAAGCACCCGTTCGTTCTGTTACCGGCCTCTTGGTCCCTGGTCCTCCCCCGCACCGGGGGCAACCCCAGCAAGACCTCCCTCGATATCACCTTCAAGCGTAACACCGGGGTCACGAACATGTGCCCCCGAGAATCCCGAATAAGGGAGGCCACGGTCCGTACATGCCCGCACAGGCCGCTGACCCTCAGGGTTTAGCAAGGCTGGCAACTGTAGTTCGGCCTGACAACTTTACTTCAGCCTGTAATCCGCGCCTCACGTCGAGGCATTGATGTGCGTCTCTGAGAGCGAATCACTTCTCTGGGAGTCTCAGGATCGAGGATGGAGGCTCGATCGAGGATGGAGGTGCGATCGATGGTTTGTCGATGGTTACCCATACAGGTTGTTCAATATTTTCGAGCGTATTTCATGTTTTTTGGGGGTGGCGCTGTATCGTATGAAAACCGTGTCTCAGGGCTGTCTCATGGATCCGGACTGTCTGGGGGAATCTTGAGACCTCTCCTAGCCACTGGGCTTCCTTACGCATCCTGCTCCCGCCGCCCCCCGAGAAAATCCGCCGACCCTGTCGGCGTGTCTGAGAGCGAATCACTTCTCTGGGAGTCTCAGGATCGAGGATGGAGGCTCGATCGAGGATGGAGGTGCGATCGATGGTTTGTCGATGGTTACCCATACAGGTTGTTCAATATTTTCGAGCGTATTTCATGTTTTTTGGGGGTGGCGCTGTATCGTATGAAAACCGTGTCTCAGGGCTGTCTCATGGATCCGGACTGTCTGGGGGAATCTTGAGACCTCTCCTAGCCACTGGGCTTCCTTACGCATCCTGCTCCCGCCGCCCCCCGAGAAAATCCGCCGACCCTGTCGGCGTGTGCGAGGGGCTTGGCTGTTCGAGTCGTCGTCTCCGTCGGTCGTCGCCTCCGTCGTCCCCTTTCCCTGCAGCTTCCTTCTCAAGCTCGTGAGCGAGAGAAAAATCTAGCAGTGTCGTAATCGAGTCGAAGGGAAGCCCCTTCCCTTTGATCCCTTCCCCGGGGGGGGGGTCCCGGGGGGGTCCCGGGGGTGTGGGTGGGGGGGTGGGGGGCAGATTCGTTTTTCCTCGGGCGGCCTAGAAACCTCGAAAACACTCCAAATGAGGTCCGAATGCCCAAGATGGCCCCCGAGACGGCCCAAGAGGGCCCCGAGTCGCCCAAAGATCGGCCGAAAACGCCCAAGATAGCCCCAAGACCGTCCAAGACGCCTCCAAGACGTCCCGGGCCCCCTCCAAAAGACCCCCAGGAAGCCCCAAGAGGCCCCCACGAGGCTTCCAAGCGGCCCCTAAGAGCTTCCCAAGAGGCCCACAAACTACCCCCAAGAGGCCCCCAAGAGCGCTCGTCGTCGTCGTCGTCGTCGTCGTCGTCGTCGCCATTCAGGGTCGGCGGCACCGGCCGTAAGGCCTTCGCAATATGCAAATACTTTGATTGTGCTGGGCGCTAGCGGTATCGCTCGGCGGTCCTCCCCCCCTCTGGGATTTCTTCTCTGATTTTGGTGTTGCAGATGCCGAGGGGGCTCGGGGACCTTCTGGCCCGGGTCAATCCAAACCCGGGTCAATCAAGCCCTGCAGAATCCTGCAAGACCCTGCAAGATCCTGCACCCAAGCCCACACCCAAACCCGGGTCAATGCGACCCTGGCTCTGCAGGATCCTGCAAGATCGGGCGCTCTGGCTGACCCCCGTTTGCATTGACCCCCGTCTCAAGGCTCCCGAGGGGGATCGTTACCTGGGTCTCCGGGTAAGCAATTGCCAACAAGCCAGCGAAGCACCATACCACCGCCGCTCCCCGCCGGGCGCGCAAACATGGATTAGCGATCCATGCGACCACCCATCCCATGCCATCTCCATCACCCGACCCCCCACCCCCCAAGGCCAACAAACGCATCATCACATGCCACCACCACCAATGCCACCCACCATTTAGGCCGCCGTCGCCAAAGTTATGGATCGTGGGCGGGGTGCCCTCCCCAAAATGCTACCGGTGCCGCTCGCTCGGCGGCGAAATCCACGAATTTCCCCATGGAAGCGGGACCCGTCCGCTAATCAACGCCCCCCCTTTGATCCATTTTTGCGACAGCCTGGCTCCACGGCCAACCCCTCCATCTGGAAACGATGGCGATTTCCTCTCGGCCGAAAGGGGCGTCGAGGACGGACCAAACAAACAGTTGCGGCACGTTCCCGGCCGGGCGCCTCTCGCGGGGGCCGCGCCGCCGAGCCCGAGCGTCGCGGCGCGGAGGCCCTCGCCGCCGCGCCCGCCCGCCCGCCCGAGGCACACGCGCCGCCCCCCTTCGGAGGCCTGCGACGCCTCTGCAGCGCCTCCGCGCTCGCACCTCTGACGACGTGCGGAACGCTTGGGGCGCGGAGCTGAGTGCTGCACCGGAAACAGATCGTGGCCATGGCTCGCCAAGTGTGTCACAAAAGGCGGCTGGAGGGTCTTCCCCCTGAGCCAACACCTCGCTATGCGACGCCGCGGATCCGTGCAGCTCTATAAGGACTGGACGGGATGAGGAGGACCATGCTGGCCATCACCAACCTGGCAGCCGTGCCCCCAGAAGGGGCAACATTTCAAAACTGTGACTCCGTGACTCCTCAGACTGGGCAGCATTGAAACATTATGCACCAAGTCTGCCGCAAAGAGCAGGTACGGGCATGTGCGCAGGCTCCTGGGCGCAGCTGTGCGTCAGTCAAGAGCGTGAGACAGGTGAAACAGTACATATCATGAAGGGGCAAATGGATCTAAGCACCCGTTCGTTCTGTTACCGGCCTCTTGGTCCCTGGTCCTCCCCCGCACCGGGGGCAACCCCAGCAAGACCTCCCTCGATATCACCTTCAAGCGTAACACCGGGGTCACGAACATGTGCCCCCGAGAATCCCGAATAAGGGAGGCCACGGTCCGCACATGCCCGCACAGGCCGCTGACCCGCAGAAAACCTAATTTTATCGACCGCGGCCCCGCCAAGAGCGTTCCTGGGGTGGGCTGGCATCCCCCGAATCACGCGGCCGTGACGATCGGACCCAGAGTTCCGAGGACCCCAAGATTTGTCAGGCGAAACGGGCCAGAGTGCCTCAAGTCAGGGCATTTCGGAGCCCAGGGTTTCGAGGATGTCTCAGGCGAAACGGGCCTGAGCACCTCGAGAACCGCATCTTGGAACCAAGAGCTGGGATGATGTCTCAAGCGGAATGAATGGGCTAGAGCACCTGACAGAAGTCAGGGCATCTCGAAGGGGTTCCGAAGATGCCTCACCTCCATCGTAACGGGCCTGAACACCTCGCGAACCGCATCTTGAAACGCAGAGTCGTGAGGGGATCTCAGGCTAAACCGGCCAGAGCATCTCAAGTCAGGGCATCTCGAAGGGGTTCCGAGGGAGTCCGAGGATGTCTCAGGCGACACGGGCAGAGCACCTCAACAACCACATCTTGAAAATCATATTGTGAGGAGGTCTCAGGTGAAACGGGCCAGAACATCTCAAGTCAAGGCATCCCAGAACCCAAGGTTCCGAGGATGTCTGAGGTGAAACGGGCCAGAGCCTCTGTGGGGCATGCACCGAGCTCTTTTGAAGGCAATCCCTCCCTGGCACTTCCCTGGCACCGCCGTTGGGGGCTGCCGGGGTCGCCTGGGGCTGCCCCTGGCGACCCAGGCACCCGGGCTCAGGTGCCCTGCCCCCCCCCCGGCCAGCCAAGGAAAGCCCTGGAGGGTTCCAGAACAGCCTCATAGAACGCAAAAGTGGGCAGCGAGGACCATGCAGCTCTGATAACACACACGCCCACCTCCCAAACCGGCCATTCGAGACATCCCCGCACTTTGGGCGCGAACAGGCCCGTGAACACACTTCGTCGACAGAACACCAGCCGGTATCACAAGTCACGATCGAGCCGAGTCCAGCCTTGGCGACGAGGATCGCATGGAAAGCATCGACAACACAAGTACTTGTCTGACTGTAATGCGAGCACTATGATTCATCCTCCTATTCCTCCTCCTCCTCCTCATTCTCCTACGCTCCTCCTCCTCCCCCTCATTCCCCCTCCTCCTCCTCCTCCTCTTCCTCCTCCTCCTCTTCGAACTCCTCCTCAGCAGTTGATCAAAATTGCGAGGACTTGGAACGCTGACTTAAGCGAAACGGGCCGGCTCAGCTTGAAAGTTCGAGTGTCTCGACGCGCGGGACCTTCGAACAACACTCGATCTTACCACAACCCTGCCCCCCTGCACCGGCCGGGCAACCCGGGAACACTCCACAACATTAACCTTTATATGACGGCAACCAACGAGAACCTCCCATTTCGTGAGCGCCCACAACTATGGGTTTCGGAACCGAGGCACATTTCGCGCAGTGCAGCAGACTATTATAACAAAGACGTATTGAATTTGCCTGCTGGTTATGGCCCACACGTTGCTGATACACACACAACACGCTGCCTCAGTCCTTGAGGCCGAACAGCGTGCTCTCGACCTTATCGAACGCCGCCTCGCCGTCGAGGCTGTTGAGATCGACGTCGAAGCCTTCGTCAAGCTCTACCATCAGAGGGAGCCACCGATACATCAAACTCATCTGCACGATGATAGAAGCAGAAATAACGGCGCAAGCATCAACTTTCGGAGGTCCGCAGGTACTTCTTGGATCGGCGCTGGACTCCCCTCCATGGCGCGCGGACCGCGCCAGGGGCGGCGCCGTTAAAAGGGCCCAACGCCGAACCAAAAAATCCGCGCGGCCCCTCGAAAGGTTGTGCTTGTGCGTGTGCCGGGTTTTCTTCTTCGGGAGGAGCTCCTCTTCCGTCGGATCGTCCAGCATCCTGAAGGTCTTCGTCCTGACCTTGACCTGGTAGCCGCCGACGGTTCCCTCCCACGACATTCGCCTCCCACTGCCCCTGCTCTCAAAGCTCTTCACGCTCGACACAGACAGCGACGACCGCGTCGACCCTTTCGAGCCCTCGCACGCCCTCGCCGTCGCCTGCAGACTGCCCCGGCAGATCTCCTGGAGGAAGAAATCCTGTAGAAACCAACACACATTCGGAGGTCCGCAGGGACCTTCGAACATGTATGTTTATGCAGTCTTTCTTTCTTCTGTTTTCCTTGTTAGCCAGGCCCTGGACTGCAGCATACTGCATCGTCGCGGCCATCGTGCCGTACCGCTCAAAGTGTGAGTCCCCCACGGATAGGATGTTCTTCCAGGACTGCCCCTCGTACTGGGAATAAAAATCGCTCAGAACCTTGAAGATGGCCCTGCCCTGCGGTTCAGACTGGATCTATTATGGCAAACACGACCGCCCTGGAATCTCAAACAAATCTTCCAGCGAATCTCCGATCTCCATTAAATCTCCCCGCGAATTTCAAACAAATCGTGGCACTGTAAAAACCTTCCGGCGAATCCCCAAAGAACCTCGCGCCTTCAGATCTTCCAACGAATGTCCAAACAATCTTGGCGCCGTAGACATCTCCAACGAAATCATCGCCGGACATTTTTCCGTACAACTTCAATCGATGTTCTGGAGATTTATGTACGCCTGAGATTTGCCGTGGATTTGCGGGAGTTCTTCCCGAGATTTCTGCACGCCGGAGACTTTCCGGAGAGTTCCCTGGAAATTTTCAGGACATTCCAGCACCGCGGGGATTTTCCAGATAATTCCCCAGGGATTTGTAGCCCTCAGATTTTCGAGAGATTTCCTGGGATATTTCAGAACTCAGAGATTTTCCGGAGACTGTGGAAATGCCCACATACAATTTGGATACTCCCCAACAGAACTGCATGATATTGTTTCACCGAGAGGGCCCTGGTCGCGTGTGCCATATTGACCCAATCTAACCTTCGTCTCGGCCCAGAACGTCTCGAATTGATCCTCGGCCATCGAATTCACCTTATTGTGCTCAATCTGCTCGCCATCCCGCGCGTACACAATCTGGATACCGAGCTTCTTGATGAGCTCGCCCATCCCAGGGTAGAAATGCCTGCAGGAATCGGTGACCCACGGACTCCTGGCCAAAGTCACTATGACGATCTTCCCGCGCTCGTCCGCCAACCGGAGGAGCCGTCCAGCGGCGCACGCGGCTCTCGCTAGAGCGGTCTGGACACGTACCATCTTCCGGGGACTGAGCGCCTGGTCCTTCAGACCATGATTGATGGAGAGGCCCAGATCGTGCTTGACGTATGTGGTTGGGAACAGCGTGTCGTCCCAATCGAATATGATTGCCGTCTGCGTCTTCTCCGAGTACTGCGCGTACGAGATCTTCCGGTCAAACGGCGAGATGTGTCGAGTAAACGGCTGCGCGGCCCCCGAACAGAGTCCTCATTGCCTCCATGGCGGAGTGAACCATGCCAACGTTCGCCAATCCGTCGTCCCCTCCAAGCGACCTCGGGATGGCGCCGCACGGCTTGCAGAGCACGCCCTTCCTGCCGATGCTGCAGTTGTTGACCTGCCCAGACTCGTACCAATAAACCGTGCAGTCCCCTGCGACTACATCGATGGCAGATATTATCCCAGGTTTGCCCACGCCGCCGTCCACGTCCCCCTCTGACCACTTCTTGGGGTTACGAACGACCAACATGTTGACCCGTGCACTCTTTGTGGTCACGACCGTGCCTGGCTTCAACGTAGGCAGAGTCTCCCGTACGGACTTCATGTGATTCATTATCAATCGTGCCGCGGGTCTCCGGCTCCCCGTGCTGTCGTTGCTGCCGGTGCTAGGATGTCGGGCCAAGGCTCTGGGTATAACTCCTGCCTCGCTGGCCGCGCTCTTCCGCTCATCGTGCCGGCAATGGCCGTCAGAGGATACGCCAGATTCTGCCGGGCAAGTCGACAGCGTTTCCTGTGACCCGATCTGGCTTTCCTCTGTCGGATGCATGCGCCGCTTCTCTTTTGAGCAGATGCGTGGTCCTCGCAGATTGCTGAACAACTTCATCGTAACCTGGCCAGGTTCGCGGTGGCAGTCGCGAAGGCGCGGCAGCAAAACTGTCCACGCCCTGCTCCTCAGAAGGTGGGAACAGGCCCTGATAGAACCAACACCTGAGCTCAAACGACCTTGAGCTTGTAATTTACTGGACGACGGTTTCCAAAACACTGCATGTCCATCACAATGTCCCCTGGCACGTGGTGGAACGTGCTCGGGATGCCTGAGATTTCTGAGGACCCATTCCTCTTGACCGCGCCCACCCGCTGGCAGTGTCCCCACGCCTTCTTCCGAGCGTCCTCAACTGCCCTAGGGCTGGCAAATACACTCCCAAGATAAATAAGATAGCCTAAGGGTAAGGAGGCCCAACATACTTCCAAGACGGCCCAATTACCCTCCTATACGCCCCAAGAGGGCCCACGCAACTCCCGAGAAATTCTAGGAGGTGTTCAAGAGGCTCGGAAAGATCCCCAAAACGCCTTGCACGTGATTTCAGGAAGAAGCCTCTGATATGCCCCACGCATGTTAAAACACTTGTTTTGCACATGGCTTTGGCTTCACACCGCTATGCGCCTGCAAGAAGCCAATCAAACGGCCTCAAAAAGGCCCTGCGCGGTCCCCAAATGGCACAAAGCGGCCAGACGGCACCAAGACTGCCTAGGACAGACCCAGGGCGGCCTCAAGACGTATGCTAGACGGTTCCAGGACACTCGAACATGGCCTCAATAATCCTCAAGCCACCTGGATGCAACCCTGCAAAGATGGCGGAATTTACAGCGTACAGATGGGTACTGCAAGTGACGTTGTTCAAAATCCCACTAGACTGGTGGACGGAGATGGGTTAGAGCGGTTCCTCTTCTTACAGTAACCCACATTCTACTTCGGACAAAAAAGCTTTATCCTTCCCCACCCTACCTGAATCTGGACGGAGGGTTTCGCGGGTAGTTAGAGCGTCCAAGATGGCCCTGAATGGCTTCAGATGACCTCCAACAACATGGCACACGATAGTTGAGGATGGCTCAAGATGGCCTTCGAGATGTGTCCAAGATTCCCTGAGACTGTCCAAAACGTCTACGAGTGGTCACGGAGCCCCCTCAGGGCGCTCCTGAGAAGCCCAAATCTTTCCCAAACCTAAGAATAGCAATCCGCCGACCCCTTGTGGGACTCTAGGCGTGTGAGATTGTTCTCCCCCATATTCCCCCCAAGGACCCCAAACCGAAGATTTGACCCCCCCCCCCGGCCCCGGACGAACGCGCCATGGGAGCATAGAGGGCCCCAAAACGGGCCAAGAGGGCCCCAAGTGGGCCCCAAGACGATCCAAGAGGGCCCCGAATCGTCGAATGATCGTTCCAAGACGCCCAAGATGGCATCCAGACGGCCCAAGATGCATCCAAAACGCCGCAAGAGGCCTCACTGAGGCCTCCCAAAAGGCACCGACCCCATTCCCTTAGGATAACGTATGTTTTAAACATATTCGTCTCTTGCGCTTTCATACCGTGCAAGACGGCCCAAAAGACCCCTGGGACTAGGACAGCTCCAAGACGGCCCACAAGGGTCCCAAGACCGCCAAAGAAGCCCCGATGACGGCCCCAGAGGGCCCCCGGACGGCGCCAAAAGGGCGTGCACGGGGGGAACCCGAACCCACATTTCCAGCCTTCGGCCCCAGGACGCTCCCAGGTTGCCTCAAGAAGCCCCCAACACGCCCCAAGAAGCCCACAGGGAGCCCGAACAGAGCCCCCAAACGCCCCCAAGAACCTCCCAGGAATCGGACAAGCCTTGTGGAATGCAGTCCTGGACGCGCAGTAGTTTATGGAGTGGTCGGCGGATGTGGCGTAAGCCTATAGGGTCTCTTTTCCTGTGATTCGCTCGACAACCACCACCACCACCACGCCGCCCAGGCGTCGTGCTCTCCCTCTCCCAATGATCAGCACGTGAAGCCTCCAGAACTCCGACGCTGCGATTCTTGTCATCGCATGGACCACTTGAGGACTCGGCCCTCTCCCTGGAACCCGCTTCTCGTCCCGAACCGTTCTTTGACGGTTCCGGGGCCCAGTGACGGCCCGCAGAAGCCACAAATTCACCCAAAACCTCCCGCCGCGATTTCTGTGCCACGCAAGACAATCTGAATCTCTTAGAGAACGCGTTTCGCGGAGACTTGCTTGGGAAAAATCTCGAGCCACGTCAAATTAAACCGGGGGGTCTCAGACGGGGCTAGGACGAGGATCCGCCGGCCCCCTTGTGGGGACACCAGGCTGCAGGACGAAGGTTCGCAGTTTCCTGTACCAGTTGCAGCTTCTAGTTTCCACTGTTACAGTTCTGCTTCTTGCTGCTTACTGTTCCTTCTTACAGTTCTGCTTCTTGTTGCTTACTGTTCCTTGTTGATGGGCCGCGCGAGGGGGGAGACCCAAAACGGCAATTTTTACCACGCCCGAGCGTGTTGTCTGAATTGCTGGGGTGGGTGAAAATTAACACGCCTCACGCAGATCGGCGGGGTCAGGGTCCAAAAACACAAGGGATTTCCCACATTTCTGAAATTCGGTGGCACTCCTCACGCAGATCGGCGGGGTCAGGGTCCAAAAAAACAAAGGATTTGCCACATTGCTCAAATTCGGTGTCACCCCTCACGCAGATCGGCGGGGTTAGGGTCCAAAAACACATGGGATTTGCCACATGTCTGACATTCGGTGTCACCCCTCACGCAGATCGGCGGGGTCAGGGTGCGAAAACAACATGTCTGAAATTCGATATTACCCCTCACGCAGATCGGCGGGGTCAGGGTGCTAAAGCACAGCAGATTTGCGACATTTCTGAAGTTCGGAGGCACCCCTCAAGCAGATCGGCGGGGTCAGGGTCCATAAACATAAGGGATGTGCCACGTGTCTGAAATCCGGTGTCACCCCTCACGCAGATCGGCAGGGTCAGGGTCCAAAAACACATGGGATTTGCTACATTTCTGAAATTCGGCGGCACCCCTCACGCAGATCGGTAGGGTCAGGGTCCCAAAACCCAAGGGATTTGCTACAGATCTGAAATTCGGTGGCACCCGTGACGCAGATCCGTAGGGTCAGGGTTGAAAAACAAACAAATCCCGACACTGCTTCACGGCGGCGCCTAGACCTCATGATTTAGCGCTTGCATCTCTCATTATCCGAGACAGGGGGTCGGCGGCATGGGGCGAAGCCCTTACGGATTTTAAAAATACTCCCAAAATACCTCCCAAAAGGCAAAAAAATACTCAAAAAATAGTCCCCAGATAATTTTTGGACTATTGTTTGACTATTGTTGGGGTATCTTTTATTTTTCGTCGAAAATCCCCCTGTACGGGGACACGCCCGACTTAAGACCGTCCGAGCAGCGAGCCTTCGTCGGGTCTGGGGGCCTCCGGCCATCCACCTCGGCGGCGCGAGCAGGGGAGGGTCGGGCGTTGGCAGAACTGGGTTCAATGGAACCTGGTTTAGTGACGTGTACCCGGGGGCGCCCCCCCCGCCCCGTTCCGCTGACCGGAGCTGCCGTCATCCGAAAAACACCAGTTACGGCAAACCTGGTTTAGTGAATCTGGCCGGGCCTGTCCCTCTACAGGAGGAATAAACATAATCCAAAAAAAACCTGGGGACGATCGTTCGACTATTTCTGACCTTTGTGGGGTATTTTTACCATTTGTTTTTTCGCCCAAAATCCGCCTGTAGGGAGACATGCCCGACCTAAGAATACCCCAGCCGCACATGATCAGGCCAATTGAGGGGCCCCAGGGCCCTACCACTAACCGGGTCCCCTTACCCGGGGTCCTGGCTATGTCCGATCATGCGGAGGAGGGAGGCCAGGAGGAGGAGGAGGAGGAGGAGGAGGAGGAGGAGGAGGAGGAGGAGGAGGAGGGGAAGGGCGGAAGGGGGAGGGTGGAGGGGCAAACCTGGTTTAGTGAATCTGGCCAATTGAGGGGCCCCAGGGCCCTACCACTAACCGGGTCCCCTTACCCGGGGTCCTGGCCATGCCCGGGAGGGGGCGCCAGAGGCGGGAGGGCCCTCAGCTCCCCGGGCGTCGCAGCAGAAGGCAGGAAGGACCACTGGGGGTATATAAATATATATCTCTCTCTCTCTCTCTCTATATATATATATATATAGCTTCGGCCTCGGAGGGCCGCTTTTCCTGGCCACGAGGCCTCCTCTCCTCCTCTCTCCTCCTCTCTCCTCCTCCTACTCCCTCTTCTCCGCCTCATCCTGACCCTCCTCCCCCTCCTCTTCCTCCGGCCTCCTCCTCCTGTCATCCTCCTCCTCCTCCTCACCATCCTCCTCCTCCTCTCCTCCTTCTCCTCCTTCCCTCCGCCCCCCCATTCCTCCTCCTCTCCTCCTCATCCTCATACTCCTCCCCCTCCTCCTCCGCCTCCTCCTCCTCCTCCTCCTCCTCCTCCTCGTCCTCCTCCTCCTCCTCCTCCTGCTCCTCCTCCTCCTCCTCCTCCTCCTCCTCCTCGACTCGGGATGAGAAGCCGGGCCTGGGGAAGAGGTCGAGATCCTCGGGGGCCAACGTCAAGTAATGGATGCGTCTTGGAGGGGGGGGGTCGTGAACACGGCCGAACGCAGCTCGACTGTTTGTTTGATGGGAGGAGTTGGAGCTGACACATCAGCAAGATGACAGGTTCGATGATTCAGCAGTGAAGCCAGCAGGCTAACCGCCGCGAAAATGGCGCGTCCAGCCACGTAGACGAGCTGCCCTGCGAGCGATGGCGTATGTAAACGGCCACTGTGCGGCGGCTGGTTCAAAGTTGAAAGAAGGAGGCGCGATAAGATCACATCGCGAATCAAAGTGATATAGAGCCGCGAGCCCCGACCTTGAAGCGCGGATGGGCATGTCGGCATGTCCTGCCAGACGTAGCAAAGTGAGGAGGGGAGGCAAGCAAGGTCGCCCATGTTAGTTCCGGCGCTGTCAGTTCTCCACAGAGGGCCATGCCAGAGCTCTCGAGGGAAACCCGGGAAGGAGAGAGACGCAGAGCGAGCGAGAGAGAGGTCGAATGCCAGAGG